TGCGGAGAGGATAGGGAGGGTAGGGCTGTGGGAGTTTCGCTGGTTTAAAAATACACAGAGGAAGCGGGTGAGAGGGTGAGAAAGGGGAAGGGGAGGTGAGGAGGCAACGTCGATGTCCAGAGCCTCGAGCAGCCTCTTGCCCGCAGGCCAGCAGCACTGCCCGGCTCGACAAGATGACAGAGAAGCCCAAGAAGGCCGGCAAGAAGTTCAGTGAGTGCACTGTCCCTCCGCATCCCTCTGCCTGCCTGACATCTCAGCTTCTCTCTGCATCTGCTCTTTATGACCCTGTCTCCTTCCTGTTTCTCTTTTGGTCCATGTCTGCCTCTCTCTGGAGGTCTCTGCTTCTGGGTTTCCATGTCACCCTCTCTCACCCTCTCTCCATCACTCTGGGCCACTGTCTCTCTCTCTCTCTCTCTGGCCCGTTTGGCTCTCCATCTCTGTGCTTCTGTGTGTCAGTCTCACCACTCATCTGCGGGTCCATGGAGCCCGGGAAGATGGCTACACACTCCATCTCTACGCCTGGTCCTCATGGGGTCTCAGGTGGGGTGTTACTGGGATAGGGCAGGGGTGTGTGTGTGTGTGTGTGTGTGTGTGCCATGGGAGGCTGTCCCATGTCCCCACCAGCAGGGACACTGGGACCCAAAGCAACTCAAGAAGGGCCACACCCACCCATGGCTGCTTCCCCAAGTCAGTCCCTTCCTGGTCCCAGCAGACTTCTGCCTGCCCCCTGGTTTCTTTGATCTGACAGCACAGTGTGTGTGTGTGTGTGTGTGTGTGTGTGTCCAGGGCAAGGCTTATGGCTGCATCCCACAATGAAGAGACTGAGACCCAGAGACTTGCCTGAGATCATATGGGGCTATAGACCAGGGCTCAATCTCATGTGCCTGGACTGGGCCTCAGTTTCACTCCTTGCCCCCCTACTGTTTCCTCCAGATCCCTGGTGCCCAGGAGACAAATAAGTGGGGCTGGGAAAGGAGGCCTCCCTCTGGCTGTTGGCACAGTTTCTGCCCCAGGGCAGAGCTTTCTGAGAGCAGAGCTTCGGTGTTTTCTGACGTTTGTCAGGAGGCAGAGGCTGAGACCAAGTGAGGGGCGGGCGGGGCTGGAAGAAAGCCCCAAAGCACTGACCTTTGTCCAGGCTCAGCCTTGCTGTGTGACCCTGGGCAGCTCCCTGGCCCTCTCTGGGCCTCAGTTTCCACTCTCGTCAAATGGAGGCATCTTACCTATCTGCCAGCGTGCTTGTGAGGACCTGAGGAGGCAGAGGATGCTGAGGAAGTGGAAAATGCTAGCGTTTTTTTCCTTTTTGCTTAACTGGAGGCCTAGGGACGTCAGATGGTGGTGGCTGTGAGAAGGGGCAGTCCCACCGCTGGGGACCGGAAGGAGGAATCCACACGCCCCCCCTCCCCCTGCAGAAATGAGGAGATGGTATCACCCGAGCACTGAGCACTGCCCCGAGTTAGAACCCAGGGCTCAGCTGACAGGAAGGAGAGAACCACAGGGACTGGGACCCTCAGGCTCTTGACAATCCCTTTCTCGTTTCTCCCCCGCCCCAGGTGCATAAACACCCACCCCCTCCATGCCCCAACACACACGTGCACACGCCCACACACATGCAACTTCACCTGCAGGCTGTGTAAGCCAGGGGGTTCATTTCACGTCCCCAAACCTCCGTTTCCTCACCTGGAAAATGGGGGATTAAGCTGTGCAGGGAGTCGTGCTGAGAATTCAGTGAGGTCATGCGTGCTGCAAGTTTGACCAGTGCGGAGGCATTATCGTGGTCAACGTCACCACCATCATGACCGGCTCCTCCATTTTTCCCCCCTTCATTACTTCTGGAGGATATTTGTGTGCCAGGCCCCATGGTAAGCATGTCATTTACATGCTTTCCTTCAGTCCTCCCGCTGACCAGAGGAGGTGGGTGTTATAATCTCCATTTTGCTGATGTGGAGAATGGAGCTCAGAGGGGTCAAATGAATTGACGAAGGTTGCACAGCCAGGATGCGGAAGAGCAGGGATTCCAGCCTGGGGCTGTGTGGCTCCAAAACTGCCAAGTTGTACCATAATAATCAGAGGAGGTGTCGGTGAGGCCTGCCCTCCTGAGCCCTCAGTGAGTCAAACAGCATGTACCTAGAATCTATTATTATCGCTGCTGGCATCGTCATTAACCCCTTTCCCTTCTCCTCCCCCTGCCAGAGTTCTTCAAGTTCAAGGGCTTTGGGAGCCTCTCCAATCTCCCCCGGTCCTTCACTCTGAGACGGTCCTTGGCTCACATCACTATCCGACCTAATCTAAAGCCTGAAATCTTTGAGGCCACACAGGACGACATGGTGACGGTCCCCAAGAGTCCCCCGGCGTATGCCCGTTCCAGCGACATGTACAGCCACATGGGCACCATGCCTCGGCCCAGCATCAAGAAGTCTCAGAACCGACAGGCTGCCCTGGAGACCCAAGAGGTGGGCCCTGAGCCCCACCTGGTGCCCCAAAGCCTGCCTGACCCCCCAGGCATGGAGGCGGCCAAAGAGAAGGTGGTGGAGACCGAAGCCCCCCTGGAGGACACAGAGGGAAAACCCAACCCGTCAGCCGTGGAGGCGAGCCCCACGAGAGAGCCTGAAGACCCCAGGGTAGACATAGAAGAGGAGACAGTCCCCAAGAATGTGCCCCCAGAAAGGTAGGTGCCCACCAGGGGAAGGGGAGGGCAGGACCTGCAGGGATGGGGTTTCCAGTCTCCTGCTAATAGAGCCTGGAGAGGACCCCCCCCCCCCCCACACACACACACATCTAAGTAAACATGCCTTAACCAAGTACCTGCTATAAACCAGGCACTATGCTTAGCCCTTCACTTGCAATTACTTTTCAAGGAAAAAACAAAACAAAACTGGGGAGGAGATACCGTTATGTACATTTGAGGAAACAGATTCAGAGACGGAGTCATCTGCTCCACTCAGGTTGCACATCTAACAAATGACAGCGTCAGGGTTTGAACTAAGAGCCATCTGACTCCAAAGCCCCAGGCAACCTCCAGCACGGGCTCCGCTGCTGGCTGGACTCCAAGCCTGATCGCTGGACCCCTGCCCAGGGCCCTCACACAGAAATCAGCACCCTTACTTCTGCTGGACAACACTGCTTCACCTGCTCTAGAAAACTATTTGTCATTTAACTTGGTTATTGGGTGAATTGAGTTCATGCAAAAATACAAAGAGTGATGATATGGTCCTAGCTCCCATTTAGTAAGCACCCATTTTACTGGCTGTCAAAGCAAATGTCATTCACTGAAAACTAAAAGAATCTATGATCAGCCCCATTTTACAGATGGGGAAACTGAGACTCAGCCAAGGTTGCAGAGCTGGGATTTGAACAGGAAATGGCTTGCTTCCAGGGGCTGCACACTCATCCAGCCCATTGTACCCACCACCTTCTAAACCCTACAGCCATGTACTTCATGCCCTTGGGAGACCCTTCTCAACCCCAACGAAAGGAACCTTTTCCACCTTAAGAGCCTTTGTGTAATCACAGGGATCAGATGTGCCCATTGCGATAAAGAGAAAAAACAAATAGCTGAGCAAAGGAACTCTAGGGCTGGTGCTGGGACCTTTCTTGAGTGGCTTTGCCTTGAGACCAAAAAAAAGCACAAAAGACAAAAAAGCTTCTGTGTGCTAAGAGATCAGAACACAGACCCACCCCCTTCAATGGGGGGAGCAGGACTCTGTAAATCTGCAGAGTGAATCCAGTCCAGACTCTGCCTCTAACTGACTGCGTGCTGTTGGACACGTCTGTTCCCTTTTCTGGGCCTCAGTTTTCTCATCTGATAAATGGCCATCACGATAGCACCGACCGTGTAGCGTTGTGGAGATAATTCAAGAATAATATACTTATTAAATCTTAGCACAGTGCCTGGCACACCACAAACAATAAATGGGAATGCTTACATTTATGATGAATAAAATGAATGCTTTCCACCATCCCTGGCTGCCCCACGACCCGGGATGCCCTGCCGTTCCCTCCTAAATTCAGCCTCATTCGGGCGTGGAGGAGCAAGGATGGCATGGCGGGGCGGGGCGTCCCAAGTCTGAGATGGACATTGGAAGTTGGAGGGAGCGGGACTGGCGGGTGGAGGAGCGTGGCCTTTGCACACTGCGCCCGGACAGTTGGGGAAGTGGGGGTTGGAGAGGGG